TCTTCTATAATTCGACAAAGCACAGAATTGTAGTGCCCCAATCACTGACGTATGTCTCGCATGCGCCCCTTTTATAATTATTGTCCCAATAGCGCGAAAAGTAGGTAAACCGTGACAAATACGCAAATAAATTCCGCTGAAATTTAGCAACTTTCGACTCTAGTGCATAATTACTCAAATTAAAGGTATAAAGTACGCGATAAATTAAGTTTTCATTGGACTACTTGAACTTGGTCTGCACTCAATACGCCAATTAATTGCAAACGACTGTAATCATGTTTTCCAATTATAAACGTTATAATGATAAGTACTGCGACGTGACTCTCACCTAAACACGAAAATGACAAAAAGAATTACCTAAATACTTCACGTGGAATAGCAATGGTAATTCATCTACGGACACTATGGGTTCTGTGTTCTGTGCCGCCATCCTGCTGAAAATCGTTCCACAAAAAATCACATTTAATTTAAATGCCAAAACGGTTTCCACTCCACTTTAAAAATGCGACGCACCGTTGTTGTAGTTTGCAAATAAATATACATATACTACAAGACTTGCCTACCTACATGACGCATCTGTCACGACTGATAGCCAAACACCTGTTGCGTAACTAACGATTAACCCCACCTGTTACTGGGTCTGCTATGACTTATTTTTTATCATTATTATCAATGTTTGAACAAAGTGATTATGAGTAACGATGTATTTCGACCTTACAAAAATAACATCAATGGCCGAATGACAAATAATCCAAGCAAAAAAAAAAAAAAAACGCAAGCTGTGGTACATAATAGTCATTAATACTAAACCAAAACCTTAGATTAATGCTTCCCGAGATAGGATAAAGGGACATTTATGTGTGTTGTTTAATAAGATATACGGAAGCCTACGTATTGTACCGGCTTGGGGGCTAGGGAAATGGGTATCTAAACGCTCATTCACAGGTTTCTTTCAGAAAACCACGAAATAGTCTGTTTCGCAAATTCTAACCGAAAAGATTCTATGTTACAAAAGCACAAGTTTGGATTTTTCGAAACAGTGTTGTATGGGCTTAAAAGAAGTGATCTGTTTTATTCCTTAACACCCAAACGCAACTTCTGTTTATACAAAATGTATGATTGATTAACGCAACGTTCATTATATTGGTCAAAATGCAGGAGATTCAACCATTTTACGAGAAACTTTTTCTTGGAGATAATGGAAAAATGAAACGGTTAGGGTTTATACGAATCATCAACCCTATACCTAGTATGAGTGTTCCATGACAAAGGAAAACATCTCTAAAAAGTCGTTTGAGAGGGTATACGAGAACATCGATTTGAAATATTCTTCTGTCAATCAAATGTGGAAAGGCAGTTGGTCCACGTATGCATCCTGCCCTATCACAACCGAAAGCATCAGTGAAGAATAACTGCATATTTCTTAAAACTATCTGAAATACTCCTGAGGAACCTGTCAAAAACGTATGCTCACCTTCTGGAACATCGGGATACTTTGTCATGAGTCGATAATCATTTTGTGAAAAAAAATTGACGAAGATTTGGAAAGAATTTCAAAATTCTCTCGAAGAGGTATGGATATTCGCTGAAAGTCTTCCAATATAATATAAGTGCCCCAGAAAAATCTGCGAATAATTTCAAAAAAAGACTCCTTTATTTTTATCATTATTTTAATCTGGTCTATGAGAAATATAAAAACCAACATGAATTCTTCAAGAATTTCGCATTAGAGTTGTTTAAAAATCATTGAATAATTTTCTAATGTCCGCGATTTTACCGAGGCTGCGCTACCAAGCCGATGAAGTAGGCACTTATAGCAAATTGAGGTAGATCCAAAAAAATTGCAATGTTGTATTATATTATGGTACGTAGGTGTGAACCATTTGAATATCTCAAAATCAATAAGAACACAAAATTTGCAAAAATGGCACAGTACCTCCTAGGTTCTTGTTTTTTAACACCTTTGGGCACTGTAATGTTCGGCATGCAAAACGGCCAACAATTTTGGCACAGTAAATCAACATTCATCTTATTTCTGTCTAGGTATACAAAATTTTGTTCTTAAAATAATTTTTTTAATAAAAACGAAATCTCGTGATCTCTTCGGATGCCAACAACTTTACTTTAGTCATTCTAATTTTTCAAATTGAGTTTATTAGGAAATTGATAGACGCTTAAAGGGAAAACATAAAGGGAATTTGTATACAGCTTGAAAGTTTTGGGAGTAGTTAGAGGAGAAATTGCTAGAAAGATAAACTCACGGAAAACTTAGAAGGGAACTGAAATAAACCTTTATGGGTAGAGCGAGAGGCATTGAGGGAAGAACTTAATAAGAAAACCTCAAATGAAATTAAGAAATGCGTCACATGAAATTGAGCGAAAGCTTGAGGGTACCTTAAAGAAATTTCAGAACATGAATATGCTTAAGGAGAACATTGAGGCAACTTCACATATGAATTGAAAGGGAAATAAGAAGTTGAGAGCTGACGAATTAGAGGAAAGTGAAAGAAAAGACCTTCTAAGGAAAGAGAGTCCCATTCCCCGCCACAGAATCGGATTTGATCGAATTGCATTTTATAACCAACTCTTTGACCTTCAGGGGCCTTGATTTTTTCGTTCACGTAAGAACCACCCCTTTGAGCTTCAGTTGTTTTTTTATCGGCTATACATTGTTTTGTGCGCCCTCTATTTCACTTTCAAATCTGTCCTCCTTTTCACTCTTAATTTTCTGCCCCTTATTTCACCTTCAAATATGTTCTCTATTTCACCTTCAAATCGGCCCTTCAATTGTGCCTTCTATTTTATTTTCAATTCTGCTCTCTATTTCACCTCTACGTTTGACCTTCAGTGACATTCAGCCTTAAAACATAATGCCTTCGACCTTGAAGGTATCCACAGTTTGATCTTCAGTGACATTGGTTTTTAGTTTAGACAACTCCACCATTTGACCTTCAGTGTGCATAGTGATGATTAAGAATTAAGATCATTTTCAGCGTGTGCATATCTATCTGCCAGCGCGGCCCTTCTTTGGGTTAATTTTCCTGGGCTAAATTTATAGTACATACGCTTTATTTTCGGATACTGCTGTGTACGTTTGTTTTTTATAATTTTCTAAGAAGGCTATGCGAAATAGGTGATAAAGATCTCTTGTAACGCAACGTTTGGACCTAACTTGAAACCCCTCCAAAGAAACCAGAAATTCAACCTCTTTACGGTGATCCAGGAATACCAACCCCCCAATCACACGACTAATCAGACTTGTAGCAAGTGACAGTAACCCAAAAATATCACACTTAAACCTCTCATAGACTCTCCCGCGCCGTGCAAGCCTTCACCATCATGATGGAAACACCACTGTTCAACATTACAATATTCACCCCAGTGCCATGTAATTGGAATACTTGCATTCTGTATGGTATCTGGTTAAACAAATAAATAAATAAATAAAACACCTTGGTCTTCATGTTTCAGACCCGAACAAGTCGCCAAACAGTGTCATAATCATAGTTAAGGCAAAAAGTCATAATCTGTATAAAATTCTTGCTAATCATCCTTATCCAACAACATATCAGTCTATAGATTCAGATTAACCTCCCTAACCTCCTTTATTTCCTGATTATACGTGGTCGGTCAACTCACAGTTGATTAGTCGCCTCTTACGACATGCAGTGTCTCTGCAGTAGAGGTATTCTTTCCCGCTCCTACACAGGTAAATGCACTTAAACGTATCAAAAAAAGGCAAAAAAATAGATATCAGACAGAAACAGAACGCCTAGAACGAAAATAAGACCACAAATTTCAATCTCTGAAAGGGCTCTCGTTACAATTCAGCGAGAATGTATGACATGAGTTTTTCACATAATGAGGGGTACTGCCGATACTAGAAACGCCCTATAGAAGTTATGAGTGTCCCAAGAACAAAAGGGGGCCAACGGCAGCATTTCCTGAGGCTTGGAAGGTATTTATCCCTAGTTTTGTGCATATGTTTATCAGATGATTCTTATTATGAAAGTTGCAAAGGAAATTCGTCTGTGTGAATTTAATTTCACTTTCCAAAGTAACACTGATGTCTATACACTCACTGAGCCCATATAGTCGTTTCTGTCCAGCTGTTTTTGTGCTTCCTGGTGTGTCGGTGCACCCATCAAATACCACTGTACCTACAGGGCGGTTCAAATTCGTGGCTTACCATTGTGATCTCAGTAATGGTGAGAGAAACAGTGCAGGTCAAATGGAAGCAAAGTTGCTCCGCTTGTGACTAAAAAAAAACTGAAAATGTCAAATTTCGTTTTCATTTTCCCTAGCTTATTTCTTATGGGTGCCACATTGGATTTTTTAGACAAAAAAACAAATTCATTCAACCCAACCCACTACAGATTTACAAATATAAATAATATTCGAACCAGGGACCCTTCATACCGCAGCCCAGCTTCAACCGAATTGCGCTACACACATTCAGCAGGATCTAATTACTCGTGGATATTTTGTTGAGAAACGAATGTAACACTTTTGATTTTGAAATTTTTCTTGTAAATTTATATATAAAAGTATAGACTGTGACACGTGATTATTTTTCTTTTCTTGGGTTTTATCTCACTCTGTAAAAATCCAATATGGCACTCATAAGAAATAAGAAAGTAGTAGCCTGTAGCTTCTACATCTGCTATGGAAATTCGGATGCTTATATCACCATATTCAACAATAATGTAGCAGAAGGCAATATTTCATTCCCGATTATATTTTGGTTACCATTAATTTAGTATTAGTTACTAAGCCATTACAACTAAGTAGTGGTGCTTTATGCCCGAATGATATGCAATTTAATTATGTGCAATATCGTATTGATGGTACTTTCGAAAGAAAAGAGAGAGTGCATTAGATTGAATCAAATACAGCACAATTTGTATATTATATAGCACCGGTAAGAAAGTATTAGGTAATCAAATCTTTCCCACAGGGAAACGGGATTGTTAACGTGCCTGTTTACGTTTTACAGTTGCTAAACGTAGACATTCAGTTTATTTCAATTAAAATATTATGTACAATACAAAAATTAAATAAAAATAATAAATAACTCTTAAATATGAGATGATCAGATCGATCTTGGTGATCTGGCGTGAGTTGTCGTTACTGGGGCGGAGGATTGTACCCCGGTATTATGTACAAGTCTTCATTAATTCCGTACAGATTTTGAACACCCGCACAATCTACGTTAAAGAACCAATCGCAAACTCTAGCAAATTGGTTAAAAACGGTTCCATTAGGGCACAGAAAACTGTACTGGGGACCACCTGGTACGCACCAATGCCAAACCTGGAAACAGTCTAAGTTGTAGCACAGAATTTCGACGATTTTCACTAACTTGACACTGAGCTTCTGGATCGCTGTAGTATCCCGGAATTTTTTGCTCGCATGTAAATGAAGTTCGTGGTATTTCATTATAAGTGGGATAATCTTGGCCTGGTATGTAACCATCGAGTTGCTGAAACAAAATTTTTGTAAACCGAACACAACAATGCATGTTATGGTAATTATCCATGTGTGAATCCGCGCACATAAATGGATTGTTTTCAGTTTATGGCACTCTATAACAATAGATTAGCCAGTAATGTTAAGATTGGGCTTCCGCTTTTAAATAATAACATTTCCTGTAACTGACCATTGAATGAATCCTGCACTCATTTTAGATAAAATCTGGTATTTGATCAGCAAGGTTAACTTAAACCACCAAGTAAAAGTTCTCAATTGCCAATATTAACGAAACTAGTGCAATTCGTAAACTACAGTGCGCTAAATTTTGCAACAACAAAAAAAATTGAGTCATTACTTACACATAAAACTAGTTGAATTAAAAATCCTCCTAAAGAAATAATGGCCGTATTAAGAAACTTCATGTTTAACAATCACAGAAAACTCACACAAATCTAATTAAACAAAAATGAGATTAACTAAATTACTGTAACACATTTAAGCCGAGCGTTTTTTTTCGTATTTAAAGTTGAAAGATCGAAAGGTAAAACAATAATGCGTCTTCTAATTGATGACGGCTTTTATATGTGGGAGATCTTAACACAGATTAAGTAAGAATCTTCCGAATCAGTGTGATATAGGTCTTCATCCATTCTCATACTTTCTGTTATTTACCTTGTCACGCCAATTCTGTTTCAATAAATACGTATTTGTTGATTTGTTACACTTTTTAATAATCGGCCTTTTCAAATGGTAAATTATACAATCGTTCGCGATCTAATTTTATAGCATCTTTCCTAATAGCATTCATATTTCCTGTATATGATTTAGCATTTGGATGTTCCGTAGGTAATTTGCGCCCAAATGTTTCCTGTCAAAAGTGGTAATGATATAGATTGATACAATTATTATTATCACAGGTCCTGTTTGCAATTAGTATTTATAATAACCACCTCATTTAACATCTTTAAAAGTTGGTGTGTGAACTGTGAAGTTAGCAAAGTTGTTCGTAAGTATTGTAATTTAAATGAATTTATGATTAATCTTCAATAATACGCGCCACTGAAGTCAAAATTCACCCCGGAAAATACATACAATTTCAAAAATTGGGTCACCTTTAGGCGCGGATTTTTTTATAAACAACTTTTTTGTTTTCCAGATTTATCCATTACTCGTCGTTTTTGGAAAAAGAATGTTTTACCCTAATTATAAATAGCGAAAATATTAAATTGGGTCGATTGACGTTATGTAGATGCAACTTTTTCATTATGCAAAAAATTGGGCACCAACTTTATGCCAATTTGCGCGTTTGGAATTAAATTTTGCAAAGATTGTAAATGAGCACTTATTGAAAAACGAAAGTCTTCAACTAAACAGTTTCCCTATGAAACCGTATGCTCGTCTATTTGTTTGACTGGGTAAATATGAGCAGACCAGTCCCAGTTTTGCAATAATAATAATTCCAAAAATCAGTTAGCCGAAATAATTCGACTTTTGCAATAATGTACTATTAGGCCTAAATATTATTATAATTTATAACGTATAGTTTCTGTTATGAAAAAACGTATTACAATTCGGTCACGGCTCCGTGAAGTTTGGGGAGAATAATTTGTTTTTGATGAGGGCGCATAATTGGTGCCTAATTATGCATTCCTTAAAACAACATTAATTTCAAACGACCTTAGTTTCCCACGTTTCTAGAGAATTTCGGTTCGGATTAAGTTTAGTGCCTTTCATAACTGCTTATGGCGCTTTAAAATGTTGGATTTGTATCTATTTACAGTATTTTGGATAGTAAATTTACTTAACGGTTTTCGGTGAGAAGGAAAAATCAAAATTTTGTTATTAAAATCCTTTCCTAAATTTAAAATTGGGTTCATAGATTGAAAATGGGTTAATGCCTTTTGGATGACATTACTAGAATGTCAACTGAGAATTGACAGTATATAGGACTGCACAGAAAAGAATTAAAAAACTTCACTCCGTTCCTGAGTTATTGCAGTTATTGTTTAGGTACTTAGGATCATTGTTTCCATTATTTCCGAAGATAGTTTTTTTTATTTTTAAAGAAACTAAGACTTTGTTTTTCATTCATTAATTATTGCTAAATCACAAAAAATGTATTCTGCTTGAGAAACATTCTTGTAATTGGAATATCAAGTTTGAGTTACTATTTCCCAAATTTTGGTAATGATTAATGAGAAAAATAAATACTTTACTATTTTTAAACCAATTTTACCTGAGCTAGCCCGGAGAGTAAGTACGAAAGGTAAGTTACAACATACTACAACAAAAGAACATAACAAAGAAAGAAAGAATTTTATACTTCGAAACACATCACAAACCGGAGAAAATCATGAACCTTTTGTAGTGGGACTGTAAAGTATGTGCTAATCTGCTAAAGTATTAATGCGCAATTCATTTTTTAACATAATAAATAATAGGGTTTAGATTAAGGTTGATGGGTTTCTCTATTCCAAATGATCGCTAAAACTGAGCAGTTTTGGCTAATCAAAAAACAAAATGCAACAACCATATAAGATTTTTTGTGATAAGTAAAAAACAGATTTTTTTTATATAACTTTTTTAGTAAGTGATCATAGAAAAAATTCCTTCCTTGATGCAAGATTCGACACCATAACGAACCAAATAGTGCAAAAAAATCGATCTTAAGATAAAGATGTAGTAGCGGCACAGCCGTAGGAACGGACAGACCAAGTTGGCACAACAGTGCATTTTTTTCTGTTTGTGGAAATGCGCTAAAAAATATAAACTTAATATAACGTATACACAAAATTTATAATTAGATAAATTTTTAAAACAATAGGAGTGCTGAGGCATTCTTCTAACGAGTTTTTAGAAACATATTAGGCGTACTAGAGTTGTAAGTATGTATGCATAATTGCATACTGTCAGTTGAAAACGCAAATCACTTTTGGTGAATTTCTAGGAGAGGCACTATACTGTCTATACTATACACTTCTTAAAACGGGTGCCAGTATAATTCACTTATTTGAAATGAAACCAACACCTGGATTTTGTTTCACACAATCCTCGTGTAAGTGAATGTAGGAGATCAGAAGTGGACAATAAAAGTAATAGCACCAGTTGAACCCGTCCTGCTTCGCAAGAAGTTTATCTTATGCGTAAACAAAAGTTCGCCACGTTAAAAGTACTCCGGATACCGGATACACACACATATTTTTAGCTGCATATATATTTGGTTATTATTTCATAAGTTCCATTATCATTGAGTATATTATGCGTTAAGTATTTTAATAACATTAAAAGTATGTCGACTTTCTTTTTCTTCCAATGTTTAACTCTAAAGAAGAAGCAACAAGTTAAAAAGTAATCGTAAACGATTTACATAAAGCGCATTTCCACTTGCATTCATTTCCCATTTGTAAGATGCAACTTCTGTTAAAATCGTAAAAATCCGCCACAAATATGAAAGATAGCGTTGCACATGGGCAATCCATTGTTGACGTGCTACTTCAATTTCAGTTTATGAGAAGAATTTCATTTCAATGCTTTTCTAAATAAAAAAGTTGGAACTGCGCATGCGCAAACCTAAATTTTAAAACTTATGTTAGATTTTCCTTTGTTCCAAGCGCCTTCAAATTTCACTTAAATGGTTCCATAGATAAAAAAGTTGGCACTGCCCATGCGCAAAACCAAATTTTGAAATTGGCGTTTGATTTTCCTTTATTCGAAGTGCCTATGTATCAAATTTCGTTTAAATTCTTCCATAAATAAAAAAGTTGGCACTGCGCATGCGCAAAACCAAATTTTGAAATTGGCGTTTGATTTTCCTTTATTCCCAAGTGCCTATGTATCAAATTTCGTTTAAATTCTTCCATAAATAAAAAAGTTGGCACTGCGCATGCGCAAAAACCAAATTTTGAAATTGGCGTTTGATTTTCCTTTATCCCAAGTGCCTATGTATCAAATTTCATTCAAATACTGTTATAAGTAAAAAAGTTTGCAATTCGGTTTATAAATGGTCGAGATGCGAAAAGGGCACTGTGAATTTTGAATCGATTCGATTCAACTTTTGGAATTGCGTATTATATGGCTAAAGCTATGCCCATATTGAATTTCATGCAATTCAGTTCATAACTAACGGAGATGTAAAAGCGATCGAACATTTCTAAACAAAGTTATCGTTCACACGGTCAGATAGATGGACAGACAGACAAAGGAACAAACGGACAGACCAACAGGCAGACGATAGATAGCAATGCAAAATTATAAACGATCTCTAGGATCGTTAATAAACGGTAAAAGTGTAAAATTATGGAAAATGTAAAAAACGGTTTTTTGTTTTTTTTACAATAACTTTTTTTGTAAGCGGCACAGAAAAAATTCCTTCCTTGGTACAAGACTCGACACCATAACGAACCAAATAGCGAAAAAAGTAGAACAATAGCTCTTAAGATAAAGAACTAGTAGCGTCGCAAAACGAGCGGACGGACGGACAGACGGACGGACGGACGGACGGACAAAGTGGCCACAATAGCGCATTTTTTTTTTATTTTTGTGGAAATGCGCTAAAAACACCAAAATACCTCTCATTCTTTTTCTCGACTTATCTAAATCTGTTCTTTATATAAAGTAAACCAGACTAAAGGAACCAAGCTTTTTCGCAATTTTCACGGAGAAAAAAAACACCAATATTACAAAAAAACTGCTCATTTTGTAATAGAGAAGTCCACAAGTTACAACATAAATTGATCCAACGTTTAGCTCAGTTTCTGAGTGTAGTTAAATTAGCTAGTTTTATTTTGTTATTTCTTCTATAATACGTACACGCTGCTGCGTTACAAATAGACTTTTTAGCTTAGGGTTAGTGCAAAACTAACCACACCTGAATGGCGTGCTCCTTCGTCCCATTGAGAAAAGGCCCATATGAGCAGTGCTAATAGCATATATTGCTCGTTTGTCAACACTAAGATTCCATGAGTTTACTGTCAGTTCGATTTTTGGATTATAACGAAACAAATTTGAAAGATTCACATGAGTAGTTCCTTTAACTATCTTTAACATTAGAATTTTACTAATGTGCCCTATCGATAGCATCATGAGAAATTCTTTAGCAATTCTATAAAAAATCACACCAGAATTTCCAAAAAACTTTCTGGAAATTTCTGAAAAATGTTGAAAAACGAACGATAAGCGTTTGCGGAACTATTTAAATGAACTTTTTGTCATCAAATAAACCAAAGAATTAGTCCCTTTCGTATTTACATCATATTTAGGAACATGAACTTATTATGTACAGATAAAATGTACACGATGTGCTAAGAAGCTTCTCAAAACATACAACATTCCACATAGGCATGTTATATTCAATTGTAACGGAAAGGTACATAATTAGTCGCCAAAAAAATGCAGCAGAGAAAATGTAAATTATTATATCATACGTATTTATAAATTTTATATCTTACCACCAGGGAAAGATTATTTCACGTTCATTCTGCACGAATTGCGCGATTATTCAGTTCGTATGAGAGGATAACTGTTAAATCTGCAATTAAAATTAAAAAAATTAGAAATTGTAAGGCGAAATCAGTTACAAAAAAATTGAGTAGCGTCAAAAATAAATTTTACATCTCACCACCCCCGGGATGTTGTTTCGTAAATTGTGCCCCAATTGCATCCTCCCTCAATTCGTGCCGAGTTTGTGAAGGCAAATGTTAAAGGCTGCAAATAAAATAAAGAAATTAGAAATTGGATGGAGAAAAGTACATAATTTATTATTAATAAAAAAATTATGCTGATATCCTACGTCTATATACTTACTATTCAATGTACAGGCTGATTCGAATTCGCGGGCTACCACGGAGACCTCGGAAACTGTAGGATATGTCTGAAAGTAGTCGGAATTTTTTCAGTTTCAAACGGCATTTTGTTAATCATCAAAATACGCAACTTTGCCAAATTTAAGCTTTCCGAGATTCCAATGGTGGCCCTCAAATTTGAATCAGCCGTATATCCAATGACCCACAAGGCCTCAATCGTCTCATTTTTTGTAATCTAATTGAGAAGATTGTATGAAAGTTATTCCATGCCTTCCAATGGTTGTAAATACTCTGGAGGTTCCAAAGATTTTAAGAGTTTTGAAGAGTCTACGGAAATTATAAGGAGATTCTAAGAGGATTTAAGACAATTATTTGGTTTTGAAGATATTTTAAAGGTTCTATACGTAAAGTATGTAAGTAGATTCCAAAAAGATCACAAGGTGATCCTAAGATCCCAAGGAAAAGATTCTACTGAGATTTCCAGAAAATTTTACCAAGATTCTGTCAAGCTACGATGATTCTAGATGATTCTAAGAAAATTCTAACAGTATCCCAAGAAGACCTTTAGTTATAATAAGAATTCTGCAGCCTAATATTTCGGCAGCGAATACCCCGGTGGATAACTTCGTGGAGGCGAATTTTGAATAAGCTAATATTCCCTGGAGCGAGTTTCAAGGGTAAGTATTTACCGGCGCAAATTTCCAGGTTAATGTGACTAAAGATAATACTATTATCTTTGATGTGACCAAACCTTTGATTATATACTACATACTCAAAGGACCAAACACACAAAATGTATCAGTTTTGACATTACTCCAAAATAACATTATGATTTAGGAAATTAATAAATAATGTTTAAATTTTGTCCAGTTCCAACAATTATAATTTTGTTGACCAACACCAACCTTCTGCTATAACAAGGCCCATTGTGAAACTTTATAACGCAGTTTCACAATTGTCTGCTTTTATTAGACACGAAATGATCCGTAATAATCGGACTGATGAGCGTATAAACAAATCTACCTGTATATTGCATAATGAGGAGCGGGCACATTTCCGCGGCAATTATTTGTATTGTCTGAATTTGGCAATTTGTTTGAGTATTTCAATATTTGGTGCAATTAGTGTATTAGGTAACGTCTTCATATTTATCAGATATGAATATATTTGGCCTATATTCCCACGGTTCGCAGTCGCACATGAGAAAAATCGCATATATACCTACAACATAATTTTCGTGTAGGTGCTCATTGTTTGATGTAGTGGTTTTTTTATAAATAAGATTATATAGGTAGGTACTACTGTGGCATACTAAAAAGAAGTTGAAAGTAAATTGTACTATTATAACGTAAGAATTTTAAGTTTAGTGGTTGAAAGAGCCGAAATATGTGCAAGTTACATTGTAGAAAATTGTTGTTATAATTAGCATAACAAACATTTTAATTGCTGCTCTAATTATTAGTTAAAATGATGATAAGAATTGCTGAAATACTGGGGCTGTGCATGTATGAATAATTATAGAGTTGTTATGTTACTCTGGCTATGCCTTTTTGGTTTTCAATATTTCATTTTGCAACGCGTACAAGATCAATTTACAACAGCAATTATGATGTCGCATTTTGCATTAGAAAATTAATAGATCCTTGTAATGTAGCGTAAAATTTAATCGATTTCACGTTTTTAACATGTTGAATCGGGAAGGGTTTGCGGGTTATGAACGAAAGTAACCTTTTAATAATGTCGCGTTTATCAGTTACGGTTTTTAAGGCACATATGATTACGACTTTATATGTTACATCATATTATGTGTAATGCAAAGTAACATTGAATGCGTAACATATATGCGTTAAAAATGTCCGATCACTTTACTCTTAACTGAATATGTGAAGTTTACGAAATCGGCCATTTGTAAGTTTGCCAATTTGGAATTAGTTTTTAAAAACCATGTGTTAAAAAAACAGTGATAGGAGAAGAGAACTGAAAAAAACTACCTACTTAATAATAGGATGCCGAAGTCGCTAAAAGGGAAAAGCGAAAGATGGTATAATAAGAATTAACAGTGATAAACTAAGTTAGGGAATGGGGGAACAAATAAACCAAGAAGAAGACATATAAGAGAGAAGAGTGGAAGTCGTGGCATTTAGAACAGACGAGGTATGAAAAATGTAAGAAAGAAATTAGTGACTATGATAGATAAGGGCGAGGAAAGGGTGGGGGTGTGTATTCGAGGGAGATCTAACCACTAAAATAGAGAATAAAGGTTATCGATGAAAAGTGAAAATAAGAATGAACCTCAAGAGATGAAGGCAGTAAAGTCGGGGATATGCAATTAGAACTGAACAAAAGAGGGCATAATGAATGCAAATACGGAGGTATGATAGAGGAAGCTCGGTAAGAGATTACATTATATAGTGTGCATTTTTAATTTGAAAGAATTAAAATTGGTTTGGCGACAGTGCGCCCCTTGGAACGATGCGCCCCTAGGCTCGAACCTTAAGGACCAGCTGGTATATCCAGCCCCCTTAGTGAATGAAAATGAAATGGAAGGTGTAAAATAATTCATAGTGGAGATAAGAACGGAATCAGATTACCAGCCTATGGAGATTATTTCAACAAGTTAAAAAAGTAATCAAACGAATTACAAGAAACACATTTCCAAATTAACAGTCTTCGCCTGAAAAAATTATAATTACTGCAGAAAAATTCGTACTCAGCCATTTAACTAAAAAATCCGTATATCTATTCTTTGACCCGTCATTTCAATTTGATCTTGGGTATAGAATATTATAAGCACAAGAATCCGATGCAACTGAATACCCAACGATCCTCGAGATTTTCATACATCCATCATTTTTATAACACACCTTAAGGGGCTGATTCAGCATTCACAATTTTGTTTAAATCAGCATTAGTTCTATTTATCTTAGGAAATTCAAAATACGGATTGCACATGCGAGTAAAAGTAAAACTAATGCCGAACAAAAAATGTGTCCTATTTATCTTGAGGCGGTCGATTATTGCAAAAACTAGCTAGAATAACAAAAAACATGATCTATATATGAAGGGGCCCATTTAACGATGATTTATGCACGTTTTCACATAACTGTCCCTTAAGGGTCAAGTGTGGGGTAATTAATTTTTTTTCCCCTCACTTACTTTTCCTCTAAAATAATTTTTGGTTTGAGCTAAGACGTTATTCTGTCATGAAAGTAGCACATTTTTTTAAAAATAACTACGAGTAAATAAATTTCGAACGATTTCTGATCAAGATTGGCAGTGTTGTTCGAAACCCTATATTATGTTATTTTATTTTGTTGTCTTTATTTTATAGTTGGAGGAGTGTTAGCTATTAGCTACTCTACCCACTCAACCCACTATACCAGTGTTTCTCAAATTTTTTCGTTTGGCGGCACCCTACAATTATCAAACAAAATTTGCGGCACCCCTAACTGTTATTATTTTTTGCTTTTTTTTACAGTTGGTAAAGATCAGGGTAAAGATATGAAGGATGAGAAGTCTTGAAAAAATTATTTTTGCAAGTAAGTTCTCATTCTCAAGGACCTTTAATATGTCTCTCTTATTTGTTAAGGTTACTTGTTTAAAGCACATTTGTCCATTTGAAAGAAAATAAGGCATTAAAATCGTCGATGTGTCTGATATTGACTAATATACGCATTTAAAGCGTATTTACCTAATAGTTTCGGAAGAAATAAAATGATTTTAATATTATTGTTGTTATACGTACAAGTTTATCGCTTTTAATATTAAAAAAAATAAATAGGACGATGCGTAGCGTAAACTGCAAGTACAAGGCGGCCGCCTTTTGATTATGATGACGCAGGTTCGAATCTCTCGAGCGCGGTTTTTTTTCTATAATCGATCGCGGTAAAAAGAATGGAGCGAAGGATTGTGAGAGAGAAGTGCCACTTTGGGATTTTTTTCTAATATTTACGTGACGCCACTTACCGAGCCACTGAGAGACTAAGAAATGAAGTGATATACGTACTTAACCAGATTAGTTGAAAAGACATATTCAAAGTGGGAGTTATAAGAGTGAGAAAGTGAGACGCAATGCAATACCTATGAACCATAGAAATAAATAAAATAGAAACTTAAAAACATAATAAAAAAGGAATATTCATTTTATAATAATATAATATTTAAAAATTTCGCGGCACCCTTAAGGCCGAAACCCATTGGCAACACGCCAGGCCACGCCACGCCATGTGGCATAGGTTCACGTGGGACAGTTTGTGTACATATTTGTTACACGCCACGTGATGACACGCTTGTCATTTTATTTAAAAAAATTGGCAGTAGTAACTTTGAGTGCGATGGACTACACTAGCGCAAGCAGTTCGTCTAGTGAGAGTTCTTTAGAAAAATGTGCTGCTGCTGCCATTGTTTTGAATCAGAAATTACGATATTTAAAAACGTTCTACTCATTCGTGAAAGACATTGCATGCTTAATAAAATTTTAGGTGATTTTCTACTTGTTCGCCATCTATCGGCAACATTCCCGCGGAATGCCCCTCTTAAAATAAATACGGAAACAGATTGCCGCGGGAGTGGAGAGGCGACCGGGGAACATTCACACGTACCAACACGCGTCGGTCACATCTGAGGGTTTTGAATCGTCCCACGTGAGGTGGCGTGGCGTGGCGTAGCGTGGCGTGGCGTGTTGCCAATGGGTTTCGGCCTTTATGAAGTGCGTGCGGCACCCGCTTTGAGAACCACTGCACTATACAATCACAAACAGTCATGCCTTACCTGGGTTTCGAACCCAGGACCCTTGTAGTCAAAGTTAAAGCTACAAACGCATCTGGCTACATAGGTCGGCTCAAGGTATATAGGTGGGGACCAAATGTACTTTTACATAATGTTTACCAAATTTCGTTATAG